TCTAATATTGAATATACCAAAATATACAACTATTAAAACAATTATATGGAAATATGATCTATAAAATTACTTTAATGTATGACTATAAGTACATGTAAGTTAATCTATATATATATATATAAAAGAGGATCGCTCAAGTTAGAACACTTATAACTCACGAACGGCTGAACCGATTTAGATGAAAATTGATAGAGAGGTAGTTTAGAGCCGGGAGAAACATATGTGGTACTTTTTGTCCCGTTTTTCATTCCAATTCAAAATTAATTATTTATAAACTATCCATTTAGTTTATGACATTTACTTTCAATTGTCAACTGTCATTCGGTTTTTTGTTTTGATACAAATAATATCACCACTTTTGGAAAATTATTACGTGAATAATATAAATTTTTTAATAACCACGGAAAATTATTACGAAGTGGCAAGTAAATTAATTCTTAATAATAGCAAGCGATGCCAGATGGACGATGGAGAAATTTATTTCTTGGCAATGGGAATGTAATTATTTATATACTTAGGCATTTATGTATATTTGTTCATATGTATTGAAATAGAGTATTTGAGGTTTTTATATTCTAAATATTAGCAATAAGTATACACAAAATCCAGAATCCAGAAAGAATCTGAAAAGCTTAAAACGTAATCAATAAGTCGAAACACCAAAAAAAGACTTGGATTGGATTATACCATGATTTCTATAGAAAGTGTATAAAACTTCCAGTTTGATTGTATTGACAAAATATAGACAAACTAATGGAGTTTATTGTTTTGATAATATCTCATTGTATATAGCATTCAAATAACACATCCTTATACACTTAAAGTATTAATATTTTTGATTCTCTAGAAATTGTTTAGAATATACCTTACTTAGCAAAACAGCGTTTGCCGGGTCAGCTATAGTACCTTATAAAAATAGGTAAAAATATTAATAATAATTAAATATGCTATATATATAATAGATAAATAAATAAAACCAGGCGGAACACTATATAGAGTGCTATGAAATTATTCTATGAGATTCCGAAATAGATAAAGATGACCAAATCTTTAATTAAGTTATAATATTATTAACAAAATCCAGATAAATTAGACTAAAGTATAAATGTGAAAAAGAATATACGTATGATTGAATTATAGAATAAATGGTATAAAATGCTGTAATGACCATATTATATATAATTATGACATGAATAAAATAAATACATATATAGTATTGTGCTTGCGTCTGTTCGAGATGTACAAATTTTATATTATAATTCAAATAAAAAAAGTATATTTACCGAGTCTGGTCCTAAATTTTCCCCTGTTTCTAGAGAAACTATTTTGCAACTGGTACTTGGCGTAGGATTACCCACAGATGCATAATTTTCTACACTACGATCTCCTATCAAAACCACAGGTGAAGTTTCAGTCATACCGTAACCCTAATTTTGAAATAATTGATTAGTGATTGATTTTAAGCAAAGAATTTTCTTTCCCCTAATAAACAGACTGAATCCAAAAATGATGATGCTAATGTTAAATGCCACAAACAGAGCCAGAAAAATGAAATATAGTTCTGGTAAAAATTCTACAAAATATTTTGTTGTTATAGATTTCAAGTCTTGGTATCAACTGAATTTTTAAGTAAGTATTCAAAATTGACAACCTGAGTGAATACTACATTAGGAGCGCGTTCTTTGAACCTCTCAACATCAGAAGCAGCCAAAGGAGCTGCACCACTCATCACAACGGATACCGATTCCAGGTGACGCTGCTCCACACTGGGATGTGCGCTTAAAAATAATACTGCAATAAAACATCTCTTTAAAATAGGCAATACCTGTTTTCTGTTTAAATTTATATTATATGAGGATACAAAAATCTCACCTATCGGAGGTACCAGATGTAGAAGGGTGCCCTTATGCTCCGCTTGTGCTTGCAAAAAGGTATCGGGAGAAAATTTAGGCAACGTGACTAATTTGCATCCTAACTGCAATTTGCTCGCCATATTCACAACTAAACCATATATGTGGAACATTGGCAGTACACAAGGAATTACGTCTTGAAAGGATCCTTGAATAAGCATTATTTAATAAATAATAATATGACATATAAGAGTTTTCAATAAAGTAATGGCATCTATATAATTTACTACGTATTTTTCAATTATATCTAAATTTTATATGATAAAACACAATCTGCGACAAGAGTTAAATTTCAGCCAAAATTCAATAAATTACACTGCGCGACAAAATTGGCACTTTTATTTTTTTCCCCAAACTTTTTTTCAAATCTAATCAGAATAGCACGCTGATTTCAAATGTACCTTCATTTTTCGTAACAGCTCCAGTTTTTTAGTTTTACCCCAATTACTCATCTAGGCTATGATTATTGCAATTTAACGAATAAATAAAAGTTTTATCTGCTGTTTTTGTTACATGTTGTTACTGAAAATTTATGTCAGACTGCGTAACGACATAGTATTTCAACTACTTTAAAATTGAATTGCGCAATAAAAATAAAACATGGGCTCTGAAAAAAATTTCGTAGTATGTTTACGTTATTAACCAGAAGAAAAAAGAAACTAGTGGGGCGCACGGCATCGTGCCTTAAGGCAAATTGCTGGAACTTCCCGTACCAAAAATTATTTTTTTTTAAAAACATTAACATTTTTGAAAAAAAAATACTCTGAAAAAATTAGATTTTTGAGAAACTATAAATTTTTGACAAAAAATTACTTTTTTATGAAAAAAGACTTTTTGAAGAAAAATTTATTTTGAAATATTTTGGAAATTCTGAACTTTTTTTTCAAAGCAATCGTACTGCTTTAACTGCATAGAGATGAAATATCGAAGCGCCATGTCGCCGTCTAACGGATATAAACATTGGTACGGAACCCATGAGAATGTAAACAAAATTTCTACTTATTGTTAAAATCTCTATAAAACATCTGATAATTTGATGTGCATATGTCTAATGATCATTTTTGACCGCCAAATGACATTTTTTTTATTTTTTTTACTAGATCTCCGAAACCGCTAGACCTGCTTCATAAAAATTTGATCAGTTCTTCATCTTGTTAATACAAGTAAAATGTTTTTTGAATTATTTAAATCAGACGCTCCGTTCTCTTAAAAACTGAGTTACCGCTTTTGGCCCATATCTTCGGAACGGCTAGGCCTGCCTTCGCCAAAAACTAATCAGCACGTCTCCTTATCAATACGATTCGCATGTTTTTTGAATTATTCAAATCGCTTCATCCGTGTTCCCGAAATCGTCGACGAAAATTTGTATCAGAGGACAGAAAGAATTAAAAACTGATATATTTAATGTAATTGATTTAAATTCATCACCCGCACTATTTAAAACGGTTTTACAAAAATGTTGGAAATATTAGCGAAAGCAGGGCGAGAGTATCCAGTATAATTCATTACATGAATTATATGATTTTTTTGTCATAATTAACTGTGAGTGCTATCCTACACAATCCTTGATATCGCTCCTCCAAAGACATCAGGACTTTGGAGGAGCGATATCAAGGCATATGATGGCTGACACTTGTTGAAGCTTATGACAAAATCAGTGAGGCCTTGTCCATGCACGAAAATCATATAAAAATACTTCTAAAGGCATAAAATAAAATCTCAAAACTAGAGCTGTTAGCAAATTTCTGTTCTTGTTTTTGGAATCAGCATTCTCGAATTACTTAAAAACCATCATAACATCTCAGGAAAAATTTTAGTGTCGCGCAGTCTTATCATAATTTACCTTTGATATAGTTTTTTGAAACATAAGATTTTGTAACATTATATTTTTGTCTTTTATGGTCAAAATTCAGTAAAGTTGTACTTCTTCCCATTCTTATCCGATGCATAAGTGTATAATTGCAAATTATGTATTAAATGGCTCGCCCGTAGGTAAGCGGTTAAGAGCGACGGGTCTTGTTTCAGAGGTCCCGGGTTCGATACCCACTTCGAGCAGCCTGTTGTCAGGCAACAGTGACAACGATTTTCACTTGGAAATATAAATAGCAATATGTTTCCAAGTGAAAATAGCCTTCACCCGGCATTGTTGCACTATATACTTGCCCTATTACAGAGATTGTAATAAAAATTCATCATACACAGATGTGACAACTGTTTGGGTTGCCATCTGTAATAAAAAAACGTATTTTGTGAGATATTAATCACAAAAACTCTTAGAACCCATAAGTTCTGATCGCTGTTCGATTAAAATTATATAAAAAAATGTATTAAATATCTACCTGATGCTGGCGTGACGAGAGGCACTTCACCAGCCTTGAGCATTTCACAATTGCTGGCTATATTGTTATGAGTCAGTTCAACACCTTTGGGCAATCCCGTTGTTCCACTGGAATATGGCATCATGCATACATCGTTCTAAAAAATTAATTTAAAAATATGATAAAACTAATTTTAAAAAAATCTAAGAGCTCAGAATCACATCATGAATCAAATGCAAGAATGAATATAAAATATAAATTTTTAATTTTCTTAGGAAAATATTTTGCATTTTCTTATATAGTTTATACCACTATCTAACAGAAAGTGTTCTGCATTGTTCCTTAAGGTAAATTACTAAAACTTCAGGATTTTTAAATAAATGTTATATTGCATATAGATCAAAGCGGGTCGATTTGTATGGGTCAAAAAAAGTCGCAGAGGCACATATGATTTTCGGATACTAGGGATAAAAATAATATACTTTGCTAAAGTACCTCTAAAATACTTTTAAAATGATTTCTGATGTCCCGTGCATTGACCCAAAAAATAAGGGTTAAAATTTGAAAATTTACGACCGACTCCCAATAACTTTTGGAAGATCCTAGGATCCCCCCAGAGAGGTTTTTCAAAATTTAACCCTTATCTTTGGGTCAATGCACGGGACATCAGAATTCAATTCACAGGTATGGTTTCTTGAGGAAAGTATCTTATTTTGATCCCTAGAATCCGAAAATCATATGTGTCTAAGTGACTTTTAATTCGAAGATATTTTAGCATTATGATATATTAACTATATTTTTTTTTTAAAGAATTAGATGATGTATGAAGTGAAGTATTTGTTTTGAAAATCTTACTGTATTCGAAATTGATATCTTTTAAGAATAAGAATTAATTAACACATATGAATAACAAGCATTACCAAAGAAACATTTTGGAATTTGGAATTAATATGCAAAACATGTTGAAAATTAATATTTGAAACAATATAGCTACTAACCGGTTTTGAAATTTCTAAAGCCTTATCTAAAACAGAAAAGTCTGCATTTTTCGTATCGCTGAACTCTGAAAACTTGATGCATCCTTGAGGACATGGCTTTCCTTCAGTACTGATGACGATAATAGGAATAGGTTCTGGTAAAGATTTAACAGCCTCAATTACCACAGATACGCTCTCATCACTGGCAAAGACACATTTTGATCCGCTGTTGATGAATTGCCGAGATATTTCCTCTGGAAAAAATCATTATTAGGGTTGGACCTTATTTTTATATTGAATAAACCATTTTATATAAATACATATAAATAAAACATATAAATAAAAAACTCTATTATAATTTTTACCTGCAGTATATAGCGGATTAACTGTTGTAATTATCATTCCTGCTTCTACGCCTCCCATTACAACAGCCGGAAATTCAGGAACATTAGGCGAAACCAGCGCCACTGTGTCGCAAGGCTGAAGCTTTAGTACTGTTATCAGCCGTGAAGCAATAGCAGCGCTCATGTCTCTCAAACGTGCGTAAGTGTACGACCGTCCAGTAACGCCACATACCTAAAATAAATATAATACAATAAATATAATACCCTTACTTACGAGTGACCTGACATACGAGTGTTTCTAGACGCAAGTTGCCAAAAGAGCGATTCGTTGTTTGAACATACGAGCGAAATTTGAGATATAAGTAAGAGCTTTCTCGAACTAGTTGGTATTGGTATTTGCCTCGAAGCATGTTACATGAATCTCCCGATATGTGTAAATGATCAATTTAATCAATAAAAAATAAATTAATTTATGGGCGATTAAAAGTATTCCGAGTGGATCTATTACACATAATTGAAAACGAACGAACACGTTAACTCGGAGTATTTTTTAAAAGCAAATTTTCAAAAATCAACAATTTATATAATTGAATTTCCGCAGGACTTTAATGGTAGGTATGTTCCCTCATATTTTCCCAAACTTTGATGAATTTTAAAAATTAAACTACTTGCTGTAAGGCCGTAATATTTCAGCACGTTCTATAAGACCAGGATATATATCGCCAAACAAAAGTTCCATAAAAATCGGATTAATTTTTTTTTTAACAGTTAATTACAACAAAACGGCTCGATAGATTTTCAACTAAAACTAATCAGTATCATTCCCAAATTATATCTTTCGAAAAGTTTTTCATTTTTGAAAATCGATTCGGTAGTATGAGCTTAAATGTGGACGAAAAGTTTAACACTTTTTTTCCAAATTACAAAGAAATGGCTCGGCCGATCGATGCACAAAACTGAGAAAAAATAATCCACATCAAAATACATCGATCGGCTTTTTAATTTTTGAAATCGGTTCAGGCGTTTTTGAGCAATCGTCGATGAAAGTTATAATTTTGACTAACGCCTTAAAAACGACACTAATTTTTGCGAACTTTGACGATTTTTTAAAATTAAACGACTTGTGGGACCGTAATATTCTAGTATGATCTATAAGACTATGGTATTTACCGTCAAAAAAATCGTAAAAATCGTTTTTAACACCTTATTACAAGAAAACGGCCCGCCCGATCTTTACCAAAAACTAATCAGGTCGATTCCAAACCAATATCTTTCGAACAGTTTTTAAATTTTCAAAATCGATTCAGAATTCTAAATCGTCTAAAACGTGGACGATTTTTTTTTTAACTTTTCTGCGATTTACAAAGAAACGGCTCGGCCGATCGTCGCACAAAACTTAGAAACGCTAGTCCTCATCGAGATACATCGAATGGCTTTTAAATTTTTGAAATCGGTCCGGCCGTTTTTGAGAAAACATCGATTTACTGCAAAAAATCTGTTCACACATACACACACATACACACACACACATACTTTTTCTAAATTTGGTATCATTCGATTCAGAATGGCTTGGAACGTCGAGCAATTCGGATTTTTTGATGAAAACATAAACTTCTCCTTCGGGAAGTTAAAAATGTTAATGACATGAAAAATTTCGTCAGTTGTAATAATGATTTTCCTACCATAGAATATTTTACGCTGTTTTAGTTTATTATTTTATAATTAATCATTTCAATTATATATCAATGATATTATTCGAATGCAGAAGATAAAGTGGACAGACAAGATAACAAATGAGGAGGTGCTGAGAAGAGTGGGCAAAAAAATTACTATTGAGCACGATCTTGCAAAAAGAAAGGAAACAGAATCGGGGCCATTTTACCTAAAAAGTGTTAGCAAATAGTCCTAAATGACGTCGTCGAAGGTAAAATAGATGGTCTATAATGATTGAGAAGAGGAAGAATGCAGTTGGTCGATGACTTACTTGGGAAGAGGAAATACAGGGAACTGAAAGCAGCTGAAGCACTAGTCCAGGAGGCATGTAAGCAAAAGTTTGGAAAAGAAAATGCATAAAAGTGGATATTCGAAATAATAAATCAGGAAGTGAAAAAAGAAAAAAAAATATTGATTTGTCGTGCTCTCACACAATGGAATTGCCTTCGGGCAGACTACCATTTATTGTATTAATTATTATATAAATTGCATATAAATGATTTACCCTCGTTTGAAATTTTAACTATACATCAAAAGTTTTTATGCTTATGGCACATTAAAAAATATTTACTTTTATAGCCATGGATCCAAAGAAAGGGGCCATATCCTTTGAATTAAAGCGTAAAATTATTGAAAACTATGGGGATAATGATGATGTCTAAGTCTAACACATTTTAGAAGTGTACTGTATTTAAACAGAAAGAGTTTATAAGGGTCCTTAATCACGTCCATTAATCGATTTTTTAACGAATTTTAGATCCCCCCTCCCCCTTGGTGATACGTGGTGATATCAAAACACGTGCATTTTTAGTTACAAGAAAAAATGGTAACATTTGATTTTTTTAAATGTATGGATTTTTTTTTAAATTCTGGTAAAAAATAAATACACTTCATATCTTACTATACCCCTCCCCCTCATGTAATATTTCGTGATTTTTTGTCAAACGTTTTTGTCAAAGGGTATTACTACAGCTAATGGCCTTACAATAATTGATAAGCTCTAAAAGTTTGAGGATAAAAATCATACCAAAAAAGTTGAAAGAGTTCGAGCATGGGAGTTGTTCAACAAAACATGTCTCCCTAAATTTCGCAATACCATGAATAGTAAGAAACAATAATTAAATTAATGAATAGTAAATTTATTTTTAATATTCAAACCATAAAACCAAAACAAAACCATAGTACTGAAAATAATTGATCGCATTTCAATATATTTATATGAAAAAAATTGATTCTAGATACGAGCGATTCGACATACGAGCGTGGTTACGAAACGAATTAAAATCGTACATCGCCGTATTACTGTACTAAAAGATTTTATTACAATATTTTGTCTGATTTCATATATTGCCTGACACCAAGCGGGGTTATTTGTATTTATAAAAATAGTAATTTATCAAATATTCAATTCTTTTTGCTAGTGCTAAATTAACAAAATATGGACTGCACATTTGAGAGCCAAGAGCTTTTATATTACTTACGAATACAATTATGATTACCAAGAAAAATGATCTCTTCATTTTTAGAGGACAATTTTCAATTCTAAAAAAATAAAATAAAAATACGCTGAGATTGCAAAGAACTATAACTAAGTAAACATTAATTCAATTCGATATTTAGTTATTGATTAAATATCAAATTGAAATCCAATAGTACTTAGAACATTGAAATTGATCTGAATTTCAATATGATGAACCAAGGGGTATGACTTGTTAATAAATGGATTGAGTACCACTAGTAATATTAAAGATAATCACTATTTTGTATAATTGATTAATAAAAGTTAATGTATTCGCAGTTTATGTTTGATATAATATATTAAAATATAAGTAAGTTCAAAAACATATCAGTAAAACACGTGGTGTCAATACACCGCCTAAATCTGGATTATTTGACCCTGTGTCGATATTCAGAAAATTGATAACGCGAAATGAGTACTTTTTCCTGTCTCACAGACATAAAAATAAACAGATATTTGCATGTTTATCTAAACTGTTTACATTATTATCATAAAATGTTAAAATGATATAAATACATTTGCACGTCGAAGGATGTTCTCGATTCACAACGAGATCAAAGTCTAGCTAGAGCAATCATTTAATTATAAAAAAAGTCAATTACGTAGATGATTTACAGTTCCGTACTATCAAAACATCAATTATTAATTAAGACACTTATAGTCGTAAAGCAAATGTAAAGAAAGATCAATAAATTTATGAACCTTTTATACAATTATTTCACATAAAATTTCAGAAATATCCCAATTATCAAAAACTTCACAGTTGAAAAGTAATTCATCAATTAGCATGCAATCTTAGCAAAATATTTAGATTTTTTCTGTATTTATACAGTATTTATATAAATTGTATTATTGTGATTTATTTATTTCGGAAAATGTTTGATTAAAAAGCTTTGGAAGAACTTTTCTTAATTTCAGTCCTAATTCATTTCTATTGTTTGTACACAGGTAAGTTCAAAGTATTCTTCATATTTTTGCATCTACATGACTTTAAATTAATGAGCTATGTGTAGTGGTGCAGCTTTTTTACCACAATGAAGTACCAAATATGTAAGAAAGAAAAATAAAAATAAAAATGCATTTTTAGTTTTTAGTAGACCTGAAATAAGTCAGTAAATAAAAACACAAAACAAAAACTTTTTTGAATAATTCGAGAGACTGACTCGCGAGTTTTATAGTGCTCATAAATTTTAGAAAAACTTAATTGGTGTTTAATTATCATATTACAATGACATCTACTTCTTTTATACATTGAATATTGTATCAAGTGATACGTATATGTACTGTTCAGGTTCAATAATCATCAATTACATCACAATATAAATAATCTGCTTTATATTGTTAAAGTTCAGTTCACAAACTCTATAATATATTCGTATTACATATTATAATTCTGATATATAATTCAAATCGTATTCGCGTGTAATAGAGAATATTTATTATAGAGCGTGATGAAGTTACATAATGATAATTTAAAATAACATGTTTTCAAGAACACTTTTCAGACTTTGAACCACAACAAAAACATTACAAATACAATCAAATCTTAGATTTGTTGACGTAATCATGATAAAAAATATTTTCATATAATGAGGTTATTCTATCGATATTTATAACAAGCGTATAGAAGTATTTTTAGTAATAAATAATCAAAATCAGTACATTTTTATGAATCCTTCCGGATATTCAACCTGTTAGTATTACCTCTATTTATTACATACAAAATAATATTGATTTGTAAGAGAAATGTTGACTAACAATAAGATATATACTTGCGTTTGAAAAATAATTAACAACAAATGCTATATACTTTTAGGTTAAATTTTTATCAAAATTAATTTTATTAAGAGTTAATTCTATGTATTTATCCGCCATGAATTTTATTCTCATGTGATTGCTTTTAAATATCAAATATTTCACTATAACTTGATTTTTTTATTATTATTATAAACAATCCGGCATAAATCTGATTTTATAAGTAACTTTATTGTGGGATCTTTAGAGCATATAATTTTAACCTGTAGCAGATATCAAGAAAATAGGGATTATTTATTATATGAATTATATAGAATTAAAAATTTAGTCAAACCATTTAATTTTTTTAATTTAGTGTCAAATATCGATTATTATAAAATTATATATAATTTTTTAGTTAAATGTAAAATTAGAATTTAAATGTAGAAAATTTTGTATATGGCTAGTTTGTAAATAAGAGGCCAAATAAAAAAAAAAGTAACATCATTTTTATACCCAAGGTTGCTTAATGACAATATTTGCTTGCGACAAATAAATACAGATTTTGTAAAAAGTTCCTTATCATGTTTGTAACTGATATAATTATGTCAGAATACCGTATAATTTATGATAATATGAAGTTCTTATACTGCATGTAAATGTATGCCTACGTCCGTCTCTACTACATATATTAATATTATTAAACATTCCAAACCAATTTTTAAATTTTTAAAACATAAATAGGACTACACAAAATGAGTGCCTATAGGCATATACACTTCAAATTAAATTTTAATATTTTAGTTAACATCTTTCTTTGATAGGCAAAAACATCCCCTTTAGACAAAACTACCCATGTAGAAATTAATGTGGGCTGAATTCACGAGCAATATACAATCTACATTGGTCAAATTTGAAGCCGATATCGGCTAGTCATAAAAATTGTACATTTTTTTAGATTGAGGCTATATAGTTAAACCAACATAGGTCTATATTGGTTTATATCTCGCAATTTGTAACCAATGTTGCCTACAAAATGTTGAATCTTGAATAAAGTTTTGATTGACAAAAAAATGTTGAATGTGATCATTTTGAATCATCAATTATTGAATTATTCTGAAACTTATAACTGTTATATGTATATATACATGATATCTCAACAGTAAAACAAAGTCATTAAAAATGAAAAAGCTCTTCATTTAGTGAAATGAAAAAGCGACTTCATTAGTAAATTCCGTAGAGTTAATAAACAAATAAAATCTTAATGATTTTCCAAAATTTTTAACGCCAATCTCAAATTCTCTAGAAATTTGGGATCCCCGAACGTGCATTTGTATGTTGTTTTTTTGTTATTTATATATTGTAATCTCACTTGGTAAATAAAACCAGTTTTAACCAGAATGTTAAAAAGTCAAATTTCACTCGCATACTTGTTGTATAAGTGTTGAATGTCATTTAATCGAATTTGAACTGCAAATGTCTGAAATGTGTACCCAGGGGTACAGAACAATTATTACATACGCATAATGGGATTTAATACAGAAAACAAAATTTTAGAAAAAAAATGCTTACTTAAAAACTTCATTAACACGTTAATCGCCATGCCTGTTTTATGTGTCTGACGCTTTAAGAAGCTGTACAAAAAATAGTGTTTTTTCAAAAAATTTTGCATTTTTTTTAAATATTAAGTTTCCTTAGTTAAGATACATTTTTAACTAAATTATCTAATAAACTTTTACATATAAATTTGTCTTTTGATGAAAGATTTAAATCATAGTCTTACGCCATTAATTGCTGTTAGAACTAATATAGTCAAGCTTCAATTATTTTAATTAAAATTATTGGCAAGCATTTTAATTTTTAAAAAATCCATCATAAACACTTAATAAATTATTTATTTTATTCTTTAGGAAGTTATATTCTGTATGCATATATTATAGCATATATAAATATATTCTGTTAATTATTGACCATCCAACAATTAGAAAGAAAGCATTTACATATAATATATGCATAAATTGCATATAAATGAATGTATATAGTAAATATAAATAATTTTGGAAATAAGTTATTTAGTATGTCACAAATTAAAGCAAATACTCGATATTGCTACTTCAAGAAGACCGAAGAAAAAATTACAAAATAATTTATTTATTTAACTAATTTATTAAGTGGTCAATGGAACAATTTTCTATTATAAAATATCAACTAGTCGTATAGTTAAGACAAAGACCGACTTTATATTAACTTACTTACTTTATTCTGATTGTTACAAAATAATTCAAGTAAAAATTAAAGGAACAGCTTTGCGTTTTGTTAAAGCATTTAGTTTTGCTAAGTGTCTCAAGATAAGTGTATTTTTGTTTACAAACGGTTATTTTTTAACTGATAAACAACGTGACGCAGATTTTTTTATTCGTTATCAAAGATGATAAAACAAAAATTTTCGTTCTAGATATCTGTGCCATCCGTAAACTTTGTGCACGATATATAAAATTTCAAGTCATTGAACGGCAAATCGAAAAACAAACAATATGAAATCGGATATAGAACTGAACAGGAATGCGATTTAACCATTTTTAAATAGTTTTACAACATTGGATTTTTGCTATCCAATAAACAAAAACAATGGATTTTATATAAAGTCGGTCTTTAGTAAAGACTCTTTACTATACGACTACTATTTGTTGAAATTTTAATTATTTAGTTTTGCGATATCAATATTTACTAATGTCTTGGTAAGAAACAAATGTGTTCTTTGCGAAAGTGGGATACTCAATGTATAAGAACAATATTTAAACTATTGTAATAAATTCAATATACTAACTAAAATTTTCTGAAAACATATCGCCATTCTGGAGTATTGGTGGAAGAATTGAAAAAATAAATACACACATACAATGCGGACTATATTATCAGTACACACCGATAGAGAATCAATATTTTTAAAATAGTTTTTTTTAGTTTATTGAACGTCCAATTTAAATTTTAGCGCCAAAATAATTGTATATTTATAAACACCATCTTTTGATGGGGCCCTATCAGTAAGAATAGTCTCGTTGTACCTACTTAACTCAATTTTAATAAATCTCAAGTTTTTTTTAGCAACTCTATTACACGTTTTATATGTCCCGCTACTGGCCATAAGCCTTTTTTCTAGACGAGAGTAGTTGTAAAAAAATTGTCTAATTTTTATTTTAACAAAGGTCAAAAAAACTACTCATTTTCTCAAACTTTGATGATTTTTTAAAATTAAACTGCTTGTCGTAAGGTCATAAGATTTCAGTAAGTTCTATAAGACCATGATATAAATCGCCAAAAAAAAGTTCCATAAAAATCGGCTTAGATTTTTTTCAACAGTTAATTGTAAGAAAACGGCTCGGTAGATTTCTCTTAAAACTAGTCAAGTTGTACTCAATTTAATTTTAATAAACTACAATATTTTTCGGCGTACTCAAGTACACGTTTCATATGTTCTACTACTGGCCATAAGCCTTCTTTCTAGACTAGAGTAGTTGTAAAAAAATCTCTGAATTCAATAGCAATGAAGGAAAGTCAATCGATTAAAAACAACATCTTTAGATCGGGGGTCCTCCCCTAGGTTGGGGGCTCATTCGAGACAATCTTGGATCAAAGGCCCATAAAATTTTAATACCCCTCCCACCTCAATGTTAACCCACTGATTATATAACTACTTTGTAATATGTATCGTATTGTAAATGACTATTTCATTATCAATAATCCACTTTATCTTCGGTTCTGTACTTGGTCAATATTACAAAAACGAAATGTAAAAGTAATACTACAATGCAACTATGAAAGCATGAACTGTCAAAATGGTAAATGGCGTATGGGGCATATTATTAATATTATAATATTATTAATAACACTTACCGATGCCACTAAGTTCTCGTGATTCTTGATATATTTCCATGTGTAGGTGGCCAAATTTTCATTTGGAATTTCGATATCAGGATAAACAGAATTCACTACATACTTCTCTTGTTCTGGCACAGCACTGAAACTCCTCGATGACGCCATTGCCGGTGTCGCCATCCGTCGCCATTTTGAAAATCCACGATTTTTTAAAATTCTAACTTCACTCGACAGTCTGTTTGTTGCGGATATGGTTTTTAATATAGGATTTTGCATTGTTAATTTTAAATGATATAAGCCTTATAATTTAATTTATCACCTTTCTTAACTTTCACTATAATTATATCACAGATTTTTTTTGTTAAATGTTTAACAGTTTTGCACGTATCGCAATATATTTTAGCGCGAAAAGCTGAAATAAAAAAAAAAAAATACTGATTATAAAGTTAGAACAGAAAGTCAAAGCAGAACTAATTACTTCTTTAATACTACACACACAAAATATTTTATAATTATTATTGAGCAGGCCGAGGCCTTGTGGTAAGAACTTTGGTTCTCTAAACACTGCTTCCAGGTTCGATACCCACATCGACTAGCTTATATCAAACAGTAGTGATATCATATTTTCGCTTGAGTTTATAGGTTTAAAAGTGTTTAGAGAAAATAGCATTTGGATAATTGTTACAAATACACTATCAGTAGCAAATAAAAAAAATAACAGAAAAAAGTCTCATCAGATTGGTTGCGTCCTAGACATTCTTGAGCAATTGATTTTCCACAACAATAGCTCTTAAAACATATATAGGTTTGATAAAATTAAAAATAAAAAGAAGAAATAAATATTATTATTATTATTATTTAAACAACAAACAGCACTATTCACCGGGTTCTATGAGCTTTTGTGATAAATTTTCTAGTTTTTTTTATTAGAATGCGACCCTATTGTTGTCCTTTTTAATAGTTATGGTTCAAAAATGCCCGAAAAGGCTATTATCACTTGGAATTATGTTTGGAACTATATTTTCAAGTAAAAATGGATACCACTACAGCTTGATACCAGGTTGTACGTAGCGCGAGATTTAAACACGTAACCTTGTCAACACGTAACCTTGTCAACACGTAACCTTGTGACCAAGGCTACCACCTCTACACAACGTCACCACACAATTCAAATTTTTGGGTAATTTAATATAAGGAAGAGCACTTTGAAAAAAGTTCTAAAATAATGAAGCAGCCTTAATCTCTTTAGAATAACAGAATTCATCAAGTTTTCAAAAAATCAGGATTGTTATTGATTGAAGTATGATTTTTAAATTAAACTAGCTGTAAGTGGAATTCTGTCTTAAGGCAATTAAGGCATCGTGCCTTAAGGCAAATTGCTGGAACTTCCCGTGCCAAAAATTATTATTTTTTTAAAAACGATTAACATTTTTGAAAAAATTTTACTTCGAAAAAATAAGATTTTTTAGAAATTTTAAATTGGACAAAAAATTACTTTTTTTGAAAAAAAAAATTTTTTTTTAAAAAAAATTTTTAAACAATTTTTTTTGTAAAAATTTTTTTTTGGAAAAAATGTTATCTTCATTTTGACATATTTTGGAAGATCTGAACTTTTTTTCAAAGCAATCGTACTGCCTTAACTGCATAGAGACAAAATATAAAGCGCGTAAGCGCCGCGTCGCTGTCTAACGGAAAAACATTGGTACGGAACCCATAGGAATGTAAACAAAACTTATACTTATTGTTAAAATCTCAATAAAATATCTGATAATTTGATATGCATATGTCTAATGTCTAATGATTATTGTTGACCGCCAAATGTTATTTTTTTAGTTTTTTTTACTAGATCTCCGAAACCGCTAGACCTATCTTCATGAAAATTTGATCAAATCTTCATCCTGTTAATACAAGTAAAATGTTTTTTGAATTATTCCAATCGGACGCTCCGTTCTCTTAAAAACTGAGTTACCGTTTTTGGCCCTTTTTGCCCCATATCTTCGGAATGGCTAGACCTGCCTTTGACAAAAACTAATCAGCACGTCTCCTTATCAATACGAATCGAATGTTTTTTTGAATTATTCAAATTGCTTTATCCGTGTTCCCGAAATCGTCGACGAAAATTTGTATCCGAACACACACACATGGACGCACACACACACACACACACATACATCAATTTTCTCCAAGGTATGCCAACATATTCAGAAACCTCTGAAACGTGAAGATATATAAAAATTTTCATTTTCGATTTTTTTGCGATTACTTACCCTATGGAAAGTTAATTATAAATAAATCAATTTATCATCTCCAGAACATTAACAATCGTCATTTCATTTCGAATCAAATTCCAAAAAAAAATAGTTGCCAAATTTACACAAAATTGAAAAAGTGCTCCCGCATAGTCACAGTCTAAACGCATTTGCAAATAATTCTTTGCGACATTTTCACTTATACTGTGCTCAGCTTGGCGGCATTTTCACATTTTTCAATAATTTTCACAAAATTGAAAAAGTGCTCCAGTACACAAACAGTCTAAACGCACTTGCGTAAACATTTCTACCAGAGTGGCGCTTAGACTGTGCTTAGCTTGGGTGATTTTTTGAATTTTTAGTCCAAAATTACAAAAAAAAATTTTTGAAAAAAAATTAGAAACAAAAATTTTTTTTTTCCAAAATCAATTGTTTTGTTGAAAAAAGCAGAAAGTTCTTTGAATCATTTAAATCGGACGCTTAGTTCTCTCAAAAACAGCCATTTTTTTTAAATTTAGCTCGGTATCTCCGAAACCTCTGGGCCTACCTTTGCCAAAAACTAATCAGCACATCTCCCTATCAATAGGAATCGAATGTTTTTTAAACCATTCAAATCGGTTGATCCGTTCTCTCAAAAACTCGCTTTCTATTATTTGCACTCTTTGCTCCATATCTCCGTAACGGCTGGACCTGCCTTTGCCAAAAACTAATCAGCACATCTCCCTATCGATAGGAATCGAATGTTTTTTAAACCATTTAAATCGGTTGATCCGTGCGCCCGAAAACGTGGACGAAAAAAAGCGGACATACAAAACACACACACACACACACACACACACACACACACACACATCCATTTTTTCTGAAGTATGCCAAAATGTTCAGAAACCTTCAAAACGTCGAGAAATGTAAAAATTTTTGATTTCGATTTTTGGACGATTACTATAACTTACCCTACGGGAAGTTAATAAAATATAGTATTAAAATGAAATATTTGTTTAAAAATTTAAAATATCAATGAGGCGATTATTTGGCATTCGGGCTACAATCCGTGGTTTATTTATTTATTTATTCATAAGCAAGCCGTAATCAATAATAATAGATATTATTTCAGGCTCTTGTCAAGCATAGCAGTGATAATTAACTCACCTTGATAGATTTCTTCAAATATCAAGCATATTCAAGAAATTTTATTATAAGACAAATGTGGAGTATCGAAAGTGCATTGCTCAAAAATATCAAAAATATTCTTGCTTTATTTTGAAAGTCATTATTACAAAACATTTTTTGGAGCTTTATAATTCAGACTTTGGAATTCAGTATAAAATTGTTAGCGCTATGATAATACCACACATCGTGTTATCAAAGCTATCCGCCTAGTCATTTGAGATAAATTGTTTGGAAAACAAACACTGAGAATTAAAAAAAAGAATCATCATCATTAACTCAATTTAGGTCAATAAACATTGATAAATAATAATTTAATAATATTTAATAAGCAATTACTTAAATAAATATACCCCTCTAAAAACGTTGACGTGTACCTGGTGAGTGAAGGACGCATTTACCACATGCTCATTTTCAACGAAAAAATGTTTTTTTAAGCAAATATCAAAACACGATATAGTCCAGTCAATATATTAAGTTCACCTCGGAATTCGAGAAGTCTGTAAATACTTGTATATTGACACCCTAAAAGTTGCCTCAAAACCTATATATGTTGCGTACACCCTACCATATGTAGGGTATATGTATGTTTGAGACAACTTTTAGGGTGTCAACAGTGGTGTTGTCGAGCCGGAACGCGCCGGAACGTCGTTCCGGCAAATCATTTTTAGGAAGAAACGCGTTCCGGCAAGAATAAATATAAAAAAATCGCTACATACAGAAAATGATTTAATAAGTAAATTTTATAAATTATTATTCAACTAATTTTTATTAAATGTCCTTATTATTGTAATAAACATACATATATGTGCACACAATAATATTTGTAATAATTTTTGTTTCTTTCCTTTTCGAACGAAACCGGAAAAAAGATGAGAACCGGTTTTTGAACAAGTTTTTAAATTTTAGCGTTCTGACAAAAAAATATTAGCACAACACCACTGGTTTTATCAAAGTCGTTTTTAATTTAGTTACAAATTGAGGTGTATGAACTGAAATATTAATTACAATACAGTAATGTATTTCAAATTTCACATATGTTACTTTAAGACCGAAAAGTGTCTGATGCTCGATTATTTCGGATATAAGTTGGACTTGTTTCGGACATAGCGGGCTTTAGTCGAATAAAATAAATAATTTAAGACATTCATATAATGTAAATTGATTGTACCGAAAAAAACAATTCTATAAATACAAAAGCATAAGAACTGCAAAAAAATGCAATATTTTAATAATTGGATGAATTTTTTGCCATCTAAGGCAAAAATATAAGCCGTTCGATCGCTTGTAAGTTTTTACAATCCAACATTTATTTATTGGTAATTTTTTTTAATCATTGTTTTATTGACATTTATTTATTGGTAAATTAGTTGACAATTTACAGCAAAAGAATTACCCTGATATTTCAATAGACTTATTGTCTAAATTTCGGCCTACAATTTGAGATTTGTATGCATATTCATAGAAACTTTGATCTTTTAAAAATCTTATGAAGGTGCTGTGGAATTGATGATCACTCAATTATTGATTAACCTGGTAGTAGATTAAAAAATTGTACTCCTAGACTACTAATTCCCAACGTGGGGCACACGCCCCACAGAAAAATCCATTTTTAAATTCAAAGGGGGGAGGCAAATTAAAAAATTACACGACTTTAACCCACTTGTTTTGGGTGATTCGAATGTAATTTGTAAATACTGTTAAAAATTCGTTAAATATATTATGATCATTGTTTAGTTTAAGTGAGCACAGGATGCGTGTGCAAATCATATAATTTTTCCATATATATTTCCATAGCTTAGGTAAATAAGCATCCCCTTTTAGGTCTAATGCAAACTTTCTCAATATTACGGATTATAGAAAAATTCCAAATTTTGTATGTATTAGTCTGTATATTTATAAATTGCCATCCCTTCCAGACAGCGGTATAATAATTTTTATATTATATTTTTAAATTTAGAATTTTTAGAATTCAGTAAGTTGCGAGACTAAGAAC